GGCTGGGAATGAGTGGCAGATTTATTGCCAGGAAACCCAAGGAGGAAAATGAAATCAAATGGGCATAAAAATGCTTACTTGAGTTATACCACAAACGGTATGTATTCAAAACTAAAACCCTGAAAGATTGTTAACCTTTGAGTCAGAGAAGGGAAAATCTGAAATTCATGCCAAAAATTTGGACGTTGACCCATAGAAGAACATTCTAGGCAGGAACCGTTTTTATTCCCACCACAAACCACTTTTATCATTATATTTTAAAAGATGTTCTGGGTAAAGATTCCACCTCTGTCCTAGAGCAGTGGTCCCCAACCTTTTTGGCACCAGGGACTGCTTTCATGAAAGACAACTTTTCCATAAACCGGTGGGCCAGGGCTATGGTTTCGGGATGATTCAAGCGCATTACATGTATTGTACACTTTATTTCTATTATTATTACATTGTAAAATATAATGAAATAATTAAACAACGCACTATAGGTTGCAGACCCCTGTCCTAGAGCAAAGCTTGATTATCTAAATCTTAAAGTGAAAGAGTTTGTTTTCTCAATCAAGTGGCTCGCTGTTGCTTAATTCATATTCTCTCTCTCTCGTTTTTCACTGTTGGGGCAATAATAGCCTTATAAAAACTTAGTAATTAATACTAATTTTGATGGTACTTATTTAGTGAAATGACTGATTAGAGACTATTTTATTGCTTTAAATTATGTTAACTTTGAGAAGTCTGCACAACTTTGTATAGGTGCTTTGATTAGTCTTACTTAATAGAAAAAAAGGATGTCAAATTAGCAGCTCCATATATAATTGGCTCTTAACAATCCCAAAACTGTTTCACTTACTTAGGTAGTTTTACCCAATCTCAAGTGGGCAGCAGGAAAATAACAAGAGGTTGTGGGTGATTTTTTCTTTTTTCAAAAAGTTATAGCAAATTAATTTTGTTTATTTGTAATAGGAATGCCTTTAAAGTATGTCGTGCCTCATTTACTATAATTCTCAATGTGCTATCATCAGTTGATCAGGAGATGATTGAGAAGACACTCAAAACCATAGTACTGAGGATTCAGAACCCAAACAGGAAAAAAATAAATTGTAATTTTCATGCACATTTCTCCAGCTCGTCAATATTAAAAGCTTAGCCAATGCACTCACCGTGGCCATGTCAATGGAAGCTGTTGCTTCATCCATAATAAGAATGCTGCTCTTGCGAACAAAGGCTCTAGCAAGGCAAAACAGCTGTCTCTGTCCAACGCTAAAATTCTCCCCACCTTCAGTGACAACTGCATCTAAGTCAGAGAAAGAAGCAAGGATTTCACTAAAGAAAGCTACTAACATTTTCCTTCCTTGGGCAAAAGACATAGTAACCGAATAAAACATCGTTGTATGGATAAATGAATGATATGTCCTCAGTATCTTTTCCTTTTTTGTTTCCATGCACATTTCATAAACTATACTATTGTGAGTTTCAGATAAATTCTGTTTCCAAAATTTCTTTTTTTATTAGAATTTAAACAGTTTTTAGTAAGTTCCTGCGAGAGATTTCTATTGATTATATTCTTGCTGCATCAAATTCTTTTTTTTTTTTTTTTTTTGAGACAGAGTCTCACTGTGTTGCCCAGGGCTAGAGTGCCGTGGCATTAGCCTAGCTC